TTTTTAACAAACTACCTGTATCAATTTTAAAACAGCTTATTTTTAATATCACATGTCTGTTAAAAATAAAGAGAAAATTTTATATATTCATTTGTTGAATTATTGCAAATTTATTAAGAATAATTTTAATAGAACTTCTACTGAATTTCATTATTAACTAACTATAATTTATAGAGTTTTCGAAATATGTTTTTATTCTTATCAATCATATATATGAATCATGTTACAGGTCTATATGATTAAACTCAATTATGGTTGGTAAATGATATAAATGTTCGAAAACTTCTCGAGTAATAATCAACCGAAAACATGTAGAGCAAGTATTTTATCTTACTTTTCTTGGAAAAATTAATTAAATTAAAGCGGATTTGTGTGTAGGCGAGTGTCCATGAAGGAATAGATGTGTAAATATAGGCAGAAGTGAGCTTGGTATAGGTGTCGATATGAATGTTTTCTTCATAACCACCTTAGAGTGACACTTACAAGCTTTCTCCATTGTTAATGTCAACAGATTTCATCAATATAGTGATGCAAAGTTGTAAAATGTCAACAACATATTCTTTTTCTTTATATGCTATTTTGCATTACTTTTTCAAAGAAACACAACAAACGATAAGATAATATAAAATAGTAAACATTTGAGAATGAAAAAAGCGAGAAGCAATCTTTCTTTCCTGTATATTTTAACAAATACTCCTTATGCTTTCATAATAATCAGTTGGCCATTTCTTTTTATCTTGAAATCTATTTATATAACAATATGACGCCTTTGTTCCAACAGCAACTACTTTGAAACGTTAACACATAAAAATTAATGGTAAGTTAAATAAAAACGTAATTATTCACATGATTTTTATTAATTCAGATAATAATTTTATAAGCAGTATGAATAAAACTACGCACGAAGGAATCATCTTTTTCAGATAACCTTTTTTTACAGCTACGACGAATTTATCGATACATTCTGTCAAAGAAAATTTTTTTTGAAGCCATAACTGATAAATTAATCATCTTATGAGAATTAATGGTCAGATTATCAGTTTTCTTTTGAACAAAGATATTCATTTAAGATAGAGAAATTACTTACGTAGTTAAGTTCTGTATCGAATTGAAAAAATTTCTTACTTCTCATTTGTGTCATAATAATGATTTATCTCCTTTTCTGTAAAGTAATTTCTAAAGACAATTCATATTATCTTTTCTTATCATTGACAAGTAAGGGATAGTGACTTTGTTTGGAATACTTTATGAAGAAAAAAAAGACATGGTAGCATAAAAGTTTTGTTGTCATAATTATTCATTCATGTAACGCTTTGCTTAGTATGTGTTAAGGTAAACTTGTGTTGTGTCATCATTCTCTTCTGAATATTTGCTTAAAAGAAAACAGTAAAATATTTTTGAGTATTTTAAGTATTTCTTACTTGAAGCTCATAATCGAAAGGTATTTTGATTTTATTATGTATGATATTGTTCTTTTAAAATTGTCATTATTGATTATATATACAAAAATAATTTAATAAATACGAATAGCAATACAATCAAAATTTGAATTAAAAAACATATCAATTTCAAATGGATATTCGTAAAAAAAAAAGGTCATTTTCTATGGAAAAATGATTCAAGAAATACTTTTGGTCAATGTATATGAGAAAGAACAGATCGATATATTATTGTTGAAATGATTACTAATATAGGCAAATATGAAATTTTCTTTTATCGAGAACTGAATGTTTATGATCATATTACTCGTACACTTGGTTCTATTGGAAATGATCTTAGTCAAATAATATATGTGCAAGAATGTGTACAACAAAATGAATTATCTGAATTATGATTTGATACTCTATTATCACAAATAGTATTGATTAAGATATTTTTACCAATAGCTGATGCTATTAGTTTTAATGCTAGTAAATCGATTGTACATGGTGATTTAGGTTGTCGAAATGGTCTTGTATTTAGATTAGATCCATTAGAACCAACAATAATTTAATTAAAATAACTGATTTTAGTCTTGGATCTTCATTCATTTAGTATGTCATCTATGTTTGAGAATTCACCTATTATTTCAAAACGACATTGTGCATTAGAAATACTTTAAAGTAATGATCAATGAAATTATGCGGAAAAATTTGATGTTTATTCAATGAATGTTTTAATGTGAAAAGCTTTATCAAATAGTGAAATTCCTTATTCATATATTGTTAATGATAATCAAGTTGTCTAAGTCAAATTAGATAATGAAAAATTGAATCGGCAACGTATTTATGGTTGTTAACTTTGGTCTCTTATAGAATCTTGTTGAGAAGATGAGCTAGATTAGTGACCAAATTTTGATAAAACAAAAGATAAATTATCTGTTATTAAACCTTCTGAAGTCTCAGATATTTGACAACCTATTTCATTATATGAGTAAGAAATAGGTCTTATCAATTAATATTTATTCAAATTATTTTTCGAATATGATGAAAAATTGAATTATAATTAATTCAAAGAGTGATTCAATATTTTCTTGAAACATCTCACTTTTATGTGAACTGATCATTTGTTATGATTCTCCTAAGATGATCGACAAGCTACAACTTTAAATTTATTGTTGATGTGTAAAGAAACAGTTTAATAGCTGGCAAATTTTGTAAAATCTATGAAGCTCAATGGCTATCAAGAAGAGAAGAATCTATTTTTTTAATTGAAATGAATGAAGTATTACTCTACAAAGAACTCAACAACCATCGACATATTATCAACACATTTGGATTTGTTGAAAATAATTTTAGATCGATTATGTTACTGCAAGAGTGAGTACCTCATGAGTGTGGGTGTAGCGGTGGCATAATAAAAGATAAAACACACACCTATACGCACACCTACATTCTCAAGAATTACTAAACAATAATGTATTCGAATTAATGTCAATGGTACTCATTGTTATTTTCTTAGAAATTATTGATGCAATGATTTACATTATTGGCAAAGGCATGATACACGGTGACTTATATTGTTTGAACGTTCTTGTCTTTCAAATGGATTCATCTAAACCAAAAGAAAACTTTATTAAACTAATAGCAAATTTTGCTTTAGCACCGCCAAATGAATCATTGTTACTTGAAGATAGATGATTAATTATTTCCGTGGGATGTTGTGTGCTTGAGATTCTTCGAAGTACAGGTCGGTTAAATTATTCTGAATCATCCGATATTTATTCAATAGGAGTATTAATGTTGGAAATATGTTCACAAGAAAAGCTTGCTTATGATTATTCAATGCCTAACAAAGAACTTCGAAAGCAAAAATTAAATGATGAAATATTACTTAGATCTTGGATGTACAGCAGATATATCTAGTCCATTATTAAAAAGTGTTGAGATAATGAACCAACATCACAAGATACTTTTAAAGTTTTGAAAAAGCAACTTTCTAGGATTAATACTGAGTATGTAAAGCAAATGTACACACGTGAATTATTCTCTATTTCAAAATATTATATCTTCCATGTGTTGTTGAATAATTTTTGATAGAAATATCATAGAGATCTATGGCTTTCATTCTTCAAGAGTAAAGGCCTGGGATCGTCGAATTATATCGAAATTTAATTGGTCACCATTTAGTAAATCAAATAAGTTCTTGATGGAGATTTTTGACAACAATATTCTTAAGTTTTTTTTTGTGATTTAAACTTTTAATGAAATTAATCGATAGAAAAAACTCTTTTCTTTCTATCCAAACAAGGTTGACCTTCCCCGGTTGTTTCGTTTGAGACTTATAAGACATTTTCTCAAACCTTGATTTCAGCCAATCGATTTCTCATCAATAAAGGAAAGCATCTAGGCAAATGATCTGACATTGTTATTCTAATATTTCGGAAGTGTCGAAAACTTCATTAAATGAAGGCTGATGGCGGAATTTCAGAATCATTGAGATTAACAATGTTAAATGATTTTGAATCGAACAACAAATATCAGCGTTCGGTTCATTATGTTGAATAACCTTTGCTTAGATGCTTTTCCCATTGGTCACAAGTCGATTTGCTAAAATCGAAGTCCCAAGAAATGTCCTATAAGTCTTCAATGAAATAAGCTAGGAATATCAACCTTGTCCAGATTGAAAGAAAATAATTGCTTCTATGGATTTGTTTAGCTAAGCGTCTACATCTAAAGGAGAATATGTTTAAAATATTGTTTTCGAAAATCTCTACCAAAAACTTCCCTGTTTAGTAAATTGATAGTCAATCAAATTTCGATGTACTACGATGGTTTAACTAGATAAAAAGTCTGATGATGATATGTTTACTGAAATATAAATCGGACATGTTTTACTCTTATTTGATTAATATTTACTTCTATTCTTACTTTAATATTCAATATATTTTAGATATATTTTATTGTTTCAGTGTCAAGTGTAGTTATTTGAAATCTTCAATATGTTCACACTCAATGATAATAAACCTATTTGGATACGAGATGATGAACATGGATTTCTTCTTGGTAAAATAATCGATATTGGCTCAGATAATGTTACTGTTCAATTGATTAACAACACAACGGTTCGGAAAAAAAAAGAATCGAAAATCAAAAGAAAAATCGGTTTTTCTTTTTCATTTTTGTTTTATTAGACAAAAGTTCTACCATACGATTCAATATTTCAAGCAGAAGAATATGATAAAGATGTTGATGATAATTGTTTGTATTTATTTCTTTTTCGAAATTATTATATTAACTTGTTTTGTTTTTTAATCTAAGGTGCACTTATGTATCTTAATGAGGCCACGCTATTAAACAATATTCGTCGTCGTTATAAAAAAGATTTAATTTATGTATGGAAAAAAAAACAAGATGTTTTCTTTTTGTTAAGTCAAATTTATCTTTTAGACTTATGTAGCAAATATTTTAATTGCAATTAATCCTTATAAACAATTATCTAATCTGTATTCCATTGATGCTATCAAACGTTATAATGGAAAATCACTTGGTATTATGCCACCACATGTTTATGCTATTGGTAAATTATCTAGAATTTTAACAACAAAAAACACTTAAAAAAAATTATGTAAATCATGACATTGTCCAACATATGAGATGAATGAATATTACGAGTTGAAGACTTTTTGACAGGAAAAAATACTTTTTTAAAATATTACCTTCAAAAAAGTTAATGAAGCTTGCTATTCAGACGATGTGCAACTTAACCATTGACTGAATTGATATTTCTATCTGATAGAGTTCGATGAGTTCAAAATTTTCGGACTTGAACTCGACTGGCTCTATTATCTGACGATATTATCATATAAAATGGTCAGATTTTTGTCTTNGAAAATCAAAAGAAGAATCGGTTTTTCTTTTTCATTTTTGTTTTATTAGACAAAAGCTGTACCATACGATTCAATATTTCAAGCAGAAGAATATGATAAAGATGTTGATGATAATTGTTTGTATTTATTTCTTTTTCGAAATTATTACATTAACTTGTTTTGTTTTTTAATCTAAGGTGCACTTATGTATCTTAATGAGGCAACGCTATTAAACAATATTCGTCGTCGTTATAAAAAAGATTTAATTTATGTATTGAAAGAAAACAAGATGTTTTTTTTTGTTAAGTCAAATTTATCTTTTAGACATATGTAGCAAATATTTTAATTGCAATTAATCCTTATAAACAATTATCTAATCTGTATTCGATTGATGCTATCAAACGTTATAATGGAAAATCACTTGGTGTTATGCCACCACATGTTTATGCTATTGGTAAATTATCTAGAATTTTAACAACAAAAAAACACTTGAAAAAATAATATAAATCATGACTTTGTCCAATATATGAAATGAAAGAATATGACGAGTTGAAGACTTCTTGACAGGAAAAACTACTTTTTAAAAATATTACCTTCAAAAAAGTTAATGAAGTTTTCTATTCAGACGATGTGCAACTTAACCATTGACTGAATTGATATTTCTATCTGATAGAGTTCAATGAGTTCAAAATTTTCGGACTTGAACTCGACTGGCTCTATTATCTGACGATATTATGATATAAAATGGTCAAATTTTTGTCTTACTGATATGATGATATTGAATGTCATTTCATTCTATGAAAATCAATGGATATTCCAGAGAAATTTTCTTCCTTCACTTTATGTTCAAAGAAAAACAATAAATCATCAAAGAGAAATAAAATATTTTTCAAAGATAATTGAAAACTTTCTATTCTATATAATAAAAGTATGAAATATGAGTTTTAGTTAAGTTTCTTTTATTCAAATCAAATAGCATGAAGTCATTAAATATATATATATATAAAGAACATCGAACTTATATAACATGTTGAAACAAAATTAAATTAATTGAAAACTTGTTTAATATTATAATATGTATATTTTTATTATATATTTAAGGTGATAAAGCATATCGATATATGCGTCGTATCAAACAAAGTCAATCAATAATANTCATTTGTACGATCTTCAATTTGACCATTATGTACGCCGTATGATTCAGTTAAATATCGTAAAACATATTTAGCTGATTCAGTTTTACCTAAATTCAATGAAATAAATATATTAATCAAATAAGTTTTCCTTCGAACCCGCTCCAGATTCGCCTGATATTATTATTGATTGACTTTGTTTGAGAGGTGTTAAGGAACTACTAGAAGTATTCTTCATGACTTACTTTTACATCATTTCAAATAGACGTTTTTGCTCTTATGATTCCTCCAAGAAAAAAAAACTGTTTCTCAAAAATGCTCAGAAGCATATCGTTTATATACTTCTAAACTGTCTGGAAAGGTATTTTCCTATATATTAGCTCATCTATATATGAAAACATTGTTTTCTTCCTTCTAAAATATGCTGAAATGTGCAAAAACGTTTACTCTACTATACTGATTCAGAGTATAGTCTCAATTGTATTTAGAAAAATGAACAAACTGCTAAAAATGGCTAAACACTATAGAAACAGCTGTTTTTTGCTAAATTTATGCTTCAAATCAGTTCAAATTTCAATTTCAATTCCATATTCAAATTCAGTGAAAAAACCTACATCTAATGACATACTTTGTATAATTTTTATGAACAACTTCTTCTCTTCGAAAAACCATTTTGAAATCTTGTACGAGAAGAACTAAAAAGTTGAATATCTAAAACTTGGTACAAACGCTACATTACAGAATCATTGGAGGTTTCTATAAATTTTTATTACTATTTCGAAGTTTTCTGCTAGACTTTGAATTAGTTTTTAGCCACTCGATATTTCAGCTTTTATCGCGGGAACCCCAGTAGTTTTTGGAGAAAACAAAAGTTGTTCATAAAAAGTATACAAAGTATATCATTAAATGCAGTTGTTTTTTTCACTGAATATGAATATGGAATTAAAATTGAAATTCGAACTGATTGGAAACATAAATTTAGCAAAAAACAGCTGTTTCTACATTTTTCATTTTTATAAATACTTTTAAGACCATACTCTGAAAAAATAATGTTTTCATATATAGATGAGCTAATAGATGGGAAAGTATCTTTCTTGTCAATTTAGCAGGAAAATATTTTTTTTTCGTAAAAATGAACTCAACTCAATCACAATACAAATTTGATATTTGTAATCCATGCAAAACATCGCATATAAATCATATGATAGTAAGTCATGAAAAATACTTCTAGTAGTTTCTTGGCATCTTCCCAAATAGATAAAAGCCAAAAATCTTGTGGGCAATAAAAAAAATGGTGTTATTGCAACACATCCTTTATTTTATTTATTCAATTTTTTGTAAACAAAAAATTGAATATTTAGCTAAAACAACTCGTAATAATAATTCAAGTCGTTTTGGCAAATTTATTGAAGTTCATTTTAATGATAAAGTATTTAAAAAATGAATTATTTTGAATTAAAGNCATTAGCTAAAGCAATATATATTAGATTATTTGATCAAATAGTTGCGTTTGTTAATAAATCAATACCATTTAGTTCATCAACTTCATATATTGGTATTCTTGATATAGCTGGTTTTGAATATTTTCCTATTAATTCATTTGAACAATTTTGTACTAAGTATGATAATAAGAAGATGAATCCAAATCAATTTTAGAAGAATGTTGTTTTGTTTTTTTAGTTATTGTAATGAAAAATTACAACAATTTTTCAATGAACGTATAATCAAAGAAGAACAATTATTATATGAAAAAGAAGGTCTTGGTTTGAAAAAAATTAGTTATATTGATAATCAAGATTGTATTGGTATGTTAATTAAGATTTTTCTTCCTTCTTTATTTTAAATAACATAGAAGCCTGATAGAACTCAAACTTTTTCTAAATCACATTCATTTGTGTGTGTGCGTAGATATATCTGTTATCATATATTTTGCATCAGTGTTATCAAGAAAATGTGATATGTTGACTTCAAACATAGGCTTGTAATTGTTTCAGATAAGAAAAATAAATGCTAGATAAAGTTGTCCGTAAGAAAAGAAAAACTAACTATGACTCGTACGCTGAAAGAACGAATGTGAAGTCTTTATTTAGCTGTTGAATGGAGGCAAAGCTGTATATTAAATGTGTTTTTTTTATGTTAGAGACATTGAATAGCACTTATGAACATCGAAGAACTATAAAACACAAGATAAACTAACATAGATCATATTTTAAAGGTTTTAATTTTATGCTTTACATTGTAAAATACTTTTATCTTGCACTTCGCTGTACAGAATATGTCACATTTTCAAAAGTTTAAAATATAGAAAATATTTTTCATTGAATATGAAGCAATCTATTAAAGTAAAAGAATGAAAAACAAACTGTTGTTTACAATCTAAAACGTATAGAAAAGGTTTTCTTAAAATTACATTCAATGGAAGAACGTATATAAGGGATGAGCATTTTTCTAAACACATGTTTTTGATTTTTGTATATCTGACAGGTGTCAACAAGTCACGTGAAGTATTTTATATGACTTAGTTTGCCGTCATTTCAAGTTAGGTTTTTGCCCTCTCAGAAATCGAAAAATCCTTTGCCATATATCATTTGTATTCAGTTTTCTATGCTGACTCTGAATATCATGTTTATATTTCGATTGAGTTGAATTTTGCATGAGAAAATAGCATTTTATTGTTAAATGGATTATAGAATCATTTTCACAGACATTTAATCTGTTTAAAGGGGCATCCATAAAGGACGTCCGGTAAAATCTGGCACTTTTGGACCCCCTCCCCCCTGTCCGG